GCCTGCAGCGCCCTGGCCCCTTGGGGCCGGGGGCGGCGGGGGCTGCCAGCTTTTTGGAATTCCTAATCGCTCCTGGCCCCGGTGATTGGCTGTTCAGCTCTGACCCCACTTGGGCAGCCGCCTGGTTGGATAAAAAGGGAATCTCTTTGGGGCTCCAGAGCATTAGACACCGGAGGGGGCACCTGGGACCAACTTCGCAAAGCGGGGAGCTCGGCGGGGGGGTTGGGGGAGCAAAAGACCCGCGGCCTCAGCCCCTCCAAAGAACCGGGAGATGACGGGGAAAGCGGGGGAAACGCTGAGCAAGCCCAAATCTGAGACAGTGGCCAAGAGTACCTCAGAGGTTCCCCCGGCCAGGTGCACAGGGTTCGGCATCCAGGAGATCCTAGGCTTGAACAAGGAGCCTCCCAGCTCCCACCCACGGGCTGCCCTCGACGGCCTGGCCCCCGGGCACTTGCTGGCTGCGCGCTCGGTGCTCAGCCCGGCAGGAGTGGGCGGCATGGGGCTGCTGGGACCCGGGGGGCTTCCCGGCTTCTACGCGCAGCCCACCTTCCTGGAAGTGCTATCCGATCCGCAGAGCGTCCACTTGCAACCACTAGGCAGAGCGTCGGGGCCGCTGGACACCAGCCAGACGGCCAGCTCCGGTAGGTGATAGCGAGGCTGCTCGCCTGCCACACTTCTTGGGAGAGCCGCAGCCTGGAGCCGTCGGCTCTAGCCTGCGAGCCGCGACCTCCCTCGGGAGGAAAAGTTCATGCAGGCCAACGAATCTCAGCCCAGGCCTGGAGTCAGAGAGCCCGGCCATCAACCGGGACGCAGAGGGTTTTCAGGTTCAGCTTGTCCGACCCCTGCTCAGTTCTTGTGAACTAGTATCTGGCCCTGCTCGTTCGCATCTCTGGGTTGGGGCCCCACTGGATGCAGGGCTCGGGGTGGCTGAGTCCTTGTCGCATCATCTCCCAGTGAGCTCTGCTGCTCACTGATGCCCAGGCCTTGGGCAGGACCTGCGCTCCTGAATCCTGATGCTGCTCCGAGCGCTGGAGGAACAGGAAAGAGGGGCCGGCCCTGGTTCTTGCCCTGTGTCCAAAGTTGTCTTCCTTTCCTCCCCTCTTCTCCTTCCCAAACCCCTGTTTCGCTCAGCTGAGGTCCGATTTCCTCCCCCTACGAACCGGGAAAATAAAGCAGCTAAAGGGCATCCATCAGATCCAACCTAAGCGGCACCCTGTATTGGATCCCGATTTTTCTCTGGATCAGGGACCTGGATGAGTTCCCTTTCGCCCTTTCAGGGCCACTTTGCTGGCGGTGTGTTCTAGCTCACCGGCTCTCAGTAATTTCCCCGATTTTTCGTGCCATTGTTTATTGCGTATTAAATGTAGAAGGACAACGAAAAGTGGTTCGTCGCAGGCTCTTTTGTGGGTGCCACGAAAAAGACAGAGAATCCCCAGTCCCCAAACCTTTCCAGAGCCCCAGCTCTCTACCAACAACAAGTCTCCATTCCTTGGGTCAACTTTTCGTCCTAGGACTTGGACTTGGCTGTCGCCTCAGGGCAGAGCTCAGGGCTGAGAGCACCAACCCGGGTCCCTGAAACCTCAGTATCTGTCTCATTCTCCCTCGTCCCTGCCTGCCAGCGCGCCTGGGCCTTGGCCTTTCTTGCAACGAAATTTGTTCAAAAGCTCGGGTTTCAGAAGCAGACCTGGGGAGGGCCAGTTTGGGCTTAGGGATGGGGACCGTCGGCCATGCCCGGGAGGGCTTGGTGGATACCACAGGCCGGCGGGGGGGCTGGCCCAGGCTGCAAAAGGTGGGGTCCTCACCGTTTTCTGCCGCTCTGCGGAGCGCACTCCCCATTCCGCCTCCTGCCTCTCCACCCGCTTTTCAGATTCCGAAGATGTCTCCTCCAGCGACCGAAAATTGTCCAAATCAGCTTTAAACCAGACCAAGAAACGCAAGAAGCGGCGACACAGGTAAGGGCCGCACAGTTCTTTCCTGCCCCCATCCCCAGCTTCCTTCTCCCGAGTCGGGTCACCCAGATTTTGTTCTCTGCGGATCGCAGATGTGAGGGCCCCGGCTGCACCAGGCAAAGACACCTGTGTGGTTTGCTGGAGCCTGCCCCAGGGCCCTGGCACCGGGTGAGGGTGATTGAGTGTCAGCCGGAGCAGAGCCGCACCATTTCGGTTTTCTCCTTGTGCTGGAGAAAGGAGAGACCAGCTGGGGCGAGACCTGAGCTGGAGAGGCGTCGGCGGCCCCAGATCCCTGCACGGGGCCGAGAGCCCCAGACCCAGTGGAGAACAGATAGACTCCCACCTCCCGCTGGAACCAGATCCGTGCAACCTCGGCCCTGGGTGCCCGTTCCTCTTACATTGCCGGTCTTGTCAACTCTCCAGTTTTCTGTTGCGATCGCCCCCGCCCCCCCCCCAACTCCAGTGACAGCTAGGCCTCTGTGCTACTGAGCCGGTCGCTACCCTTCCGTGAGCCTCAGTTTCCTAGTCTGGAAGATGGGGAAGACAGTGGACTGTCTTGTTCCACCTGCGGGGACCCGAGTGGGGTAGCCTGCATTGGTGTACAGACTGAGGGGGAGTTGGTCAGCTCCAGGGGATCCATGCATCCTTCTGGCCTTCTGGGGCAGGCACCATGTGCACATACTAATAACCAGACACATACACGTATTTTTAATGTGAAAAATGTCTTTAAATAGACGTTGTGTGTCCAACGTTAAAATTCAATGGATCTGTCCTAAGAAGTATGCGTCCCCACTTCACCCCGACCGGGGGGGGGGGTGTCAGACTGTTTCAGCGTCAACACTAATTCGTTCCTAGTGGAAATCTTAGGACGATTTTTTAAGCAAAGGAAGGTGAGGGACAAAAAAACTGAGTTTCTGGGAGTGCGGTTCCCAGGTGCTGTCCCTGCGCTCCCCAGAAGGCCAGTTTCTTCACTTTTCTCTCTGTCCTAACCCAAATAGGGAAGCCACGGGGACAGGTCCCCGCATGAGGCGCTCTGGCTTATGGTCTCATCTCTTAGTCTGTGCGTGGTCCCCCTCCCATCCCGCCCCCGTGCTTCTCTGCGTCCTGAATTTCCGTAGCCTCCCCCCACCCCCAAGGATTATTACTGACTCTCTGTCCTGACCCTAGAACAGGTTCTGGCTTAAGGGAAAGTGAACTTCAGCTTGGGTCTCTCAGAGGGGGTGGGGGAACTCATTTCACTCCCTGCAGGCAGCTACTGACTTTAGTTCAGTTTGTTTTATTCTTTTTAGATTTCTATTTGTTAGTGTTATGTGTGCATGTGATGGTGGGGAGGGGTGAGGGTGAGGGAATTCGCATACTTCATGGAAATGTATCTGGTGACTGAGAACAACTTCGTGATGTTATTCTCTCTACCCTTTTGTGGGTTCCAGGGAATCTACTTAGGTCTCTAAGTTTGGGCTGCAAGTGCCTTTGCTTTAATGTTTAGCCATCTGGCCAGCCCAGTTTATTTTAAACGTAAATTTTTTGATTAGTCCAGTCACTGATCTTTTTTTCATTCATCCAAAAAATATTAATTAAAGCATTACCTATGCACCTGTGTCCCTCGTAGGACACAGAAATGTGGTGGTGGGGAACTCTGCTCCTGTCCTGGGGGTGGCATGGTGCTGCCTGGAAAGAGCATTTCCCAAGCTCTGGGAGCTCTGGGAGATGCTGGGGAGGCCTAAGGACTTCTCACTTCGCTGTCCACATGAAAACAAGCAAGGTTGCCTTAGCTCTAGGTCATACCTAAAGCCCCTCATTCTCACCCATTCTGATAGAGAAACATGTTGGATTTTGGTGGATTGGGAGCCGGGAAGAACAGCTCACTGATACCAGAGAACTAGTTACCCTGGGTTTCTGTCTATTTCTGGTGCTTGAAGGTAGCAGACAATTGGAAGGAAGATGGCTACAGATGTGGGAGCGGGGGAACCTAGAAAAAGTCAAGACTCACGTCCCGAGCTATGAGGATTTTGAGGAAGAGTCCCTGGAATCCCGTGATAAGAGATGGGCTTCAGGAAACAAACCAGTTTCAGCAGGACTTGGGGGGAGACCGGAGATGCAGGGCAGTGGTGACCAGGCTCTGGGATTTTGTTCTTAGGAAAACTACAGATCCTCTTGTAAGAGATCCTGGGCTCTGCCTCAGCCAGAAACAGAGTTTGGGGTCACTGGGTGGGGGAAGGGACCCTCCTGGAGAGTATGTGGTCATCAATAGGAAGACCAGATCTGAAGTAGAAATGGGGGAAGCTTGAGGAATTTAAAGTTTACTCCCTCCCTCCCTCCCTCTCTCCCTCCCTCCCTTCCTTCTGTCTGTCTTTCCTTCTTTCTTACTTTCTTAGTTTTTAGTTTGTTTTTGTCTTTCTTCCTGCATTGTAGTCCTGACTGGCTTGAACGATGCTGATCAAGCTGGCCTTGAACTTGCTATGTTCTTCCTACCCCATTCTCCAGTGCTAGTGGCATAGAGCAGTCCCCACCACACCCGAATTTGTTTCTTGAATGAGACTCTTCCAAGTACAGAAAGGCCCTTAATAACTCTAAATGCTCCACAACCAGCTCCCTTCTTGGGCTTTGGCCAGGCCACACCACACCAATCGTGTTCCTAAGTTTTCCTAGTTTTAAAGGGGGACTTGCATATTTCGATTGATTTTATTTTGATGATCTGTTCAAGGGATCTCCAGCAGGTAAATAGAGAGAAATAGAGAGCTGCAGATCTCCAAAACCCCTAAGAATTAACTTTTTTCTTTCTTTTTGTTTTGTCTTGAGACAGGGTCTCACTGTGTAGTCCTGGCCAGCCTGATGTACATCAGACTGGCCTCTAACTCACAGAAATCTGCCTGCATCTACCTCTGCACTGGGATAAAGGTGTCACTACCACACCCAGCTTATGAATTAACTTTTCATGTACATAAGAATTCCACATATTGCCATCAGGAGAATAGACAAAACTAGTCGTTTTCTATAAAGAACACAACCTTCCTCTCGCATACACCCTTTGTAATATCCCTGGGGATATTGAAGTCCATATTAACTTGAGAAATGGGGGTTATATGTGCACTTTTTCTCTGCACTGGGGAGGGGAGGGCACAACATGAGATGCTCTACAAAGAAACCCTGTGTTGGCCCCAGGGTCCAAATCTCAGAGGATCAAGAAGGGACATGCCACGTTTTACAAGTTCTGTTTGTAGAAACTGGGCCTGTTGTTTTGTTGATGAGGGTGTAAGATAAAGGCCAGGTAAATGCAGCAATGTAAAATCTGTAGAGAGAGTTTCCATCTGTAAGTGGGTGGTTCCTAGTTTACTCTAGAAGGGGGGTTTTTAGCCCCTTTATATTGGAGGCTTGTTATGGGTGACAGAATGCAGCTTTTGCCAGCTTTTTCATTGTTAGGTTTTTTGTTTGTTTGTTTGTTTGTTTGTTTGTTTTTTGAGACAGGGTCTCTCTACATAGGCTGCCCTGAAATTCACTATGTAGACAAGGCCGGCCTTAAACTCACAGATATCCTCCTGCCTCTGTCTCCTGAGTGTTGGGATTAAAGGTTTATCCTCTAAATGAGTCAGTGGGAACCGTTAGGGGGTAGAGAGGGGATCAATACATCCCTTACACTTTCCTGAGAGAAGTTGAGTATGTGTGGTGGGTCTGAGTGGTACAGAGAAAGGGCAGGTGTGGAGGACGGAGGGATGAGGGGTCAGAGGGGTGTGTGACTCCATTCTCACTGGACAAACTCTGAAAGTGAAGCTGCATTTAGCCTTTGAGGGGATCTTTACATTTGCCTAGTGGCGGGGGGGGGGGGGGGGGGGGGCATAAAGCCCAGTGGGCCAAGCCTTTCATGCATTCCATGAGACCTCCTCTTTGGCTTGTCGGGGAGGAAGATTGACTTTCAATCTTCTCGAATTTTCTTCTTAACACACCTTCCCCCACAGCAGTGTTTCCAGAAAGATTCTGAATGAAATGTCACTGAAGCTAAATGCCCGCCAGGATAATGTGGGACCTCTGCCCTGGATGGAGGTCAACATGTGTGAATGTGTGTTCATGCTGGGGGGAGAGAGAGAGAGAGGAGTCAGTTGTGACCAAGGCACAGGATATCCTGCCTTCTCCTGGTGGGCTCCTCCAAGTTTCCAGGGTTCTGAGTTCCGATCTTGCTCTCTTAGGACGATCTTTACCTCCTACCAGCTAGAGGAGCTGGAGAAGGCATTCAATGAAGCCCACTACCCAGATGTTTATGCCCGGGAGATGCTGGCCATGAAAACGGAACTTCCAGAAGACAGGATACAGGTAACAGCTGGTAGCCCCTCCAGCTACTCGGGAGGCATCTCTATCCCCCTCCCTATCCTGGGGGGCAGGTTCCCCTCCTCTAACCATATCTGCCCTTCCCTGGGGGAAGAATCTTTTGCTAATGACCCTGTCCTCAGTAAAAAGAGTTTAAGTTTATTAAGCTGACAGGCATTTTCGGAATACCTACCATGCAGGTGGACTCTAGGTAGACAAGAAACTCGATCAGTATGTCCTGTCCGCTCTTGTAAGCAGTAGGCTTCCTGTGCTGGGATATAGTTCAGTGGAGGCATGCTTTACCTAGCATGAGTGAGGTCTCAGGTTCTATTCCCGGCCACTGCAAAAAACCAAATCAAACCCAAACCCAAAGGAACAAAATGCAGATGGTAGGCTTCCTGAGAGTAGGTGGTAGAGTCCATGAGGAGGCCTGGTGATGAGAGATAGAGTTGATGGGGGCAAGGGCACCCTGAGCAAGTCTGTCATAGCACATGGCTGTTTTAAGACCAGAGGTAGGACCAGGTGGCCGTGGGTGGCTGAGAAGGGGAAGCTGGCTTTTGCCTCTAACCCTAGTCGGCTTCTCCTCTCTCCTCCCCATGAAGAAGCATTGCCCCTACTCTTCCTATTCCTGGTCACTGCATCTTGCACCCAGTTGCAGCTCTGTGCTGGATTGGTGAGTCCTCCTATGGTAGGAGTGGAGGTGGAGGGGCTCTCAGCCACCTCATCCCCAGCCCAGAAACCCCAGGGTACAGGAACATCGTGAGGTAGAGAACTGAGTGGGATGGGCGGAGTATTTCCAGAAGAGCCGATTCCAGGCAGATCTTAACCTTAAATGAAAGCTGCCCCAGGAAGGCACAGAGGGTGGATTCCTGCTGCTACAGAACTGGGGGCAGGCGATGTTGGCCTTTAATCCCAGCACTAGGGAGGCAGAGGAATGCAGATCTCTGTGAGTTCAAGGCCAGCCTGGTCCATAGAGTTACAATACAGACTCCAAAGCTACAGAGAAACTCTGTCTTGAAAAATCAAAAGCAAGGGAGGGAGGGAGGGAGAGAGAGAGAGAGAGAGAGAGAGAGAGAGAGCAGGTCCTGACTTCCGATGCTGTTGCCTGCCCAGCATCTTCCTCTCTGTCTCAACTGGAGGTTCTTTCTGTCACCAGGTGTTTGGTGGAGGAGAGCATCCCAGGTGTTCTAAAGAAGGAAGCAAACGTTATGGGTTGGTCAGACTAGAGAACCAGAGATTGGAAATGAAGCCAGAAGCTGTTTTCCTAAAAGAGATTTCCTTTCAATAGAAGTCAATTCAGAATTTCAGTTCAAGGCTTTAGACATTGACACTAACAATAAGCTCAATTATCCATAAGCGGCTTATGTTTATCTACAGAGACCTGGGGCTGATCTCACCCAGTTGTGTTCTAGAGGGGGTGACCTGAGTGTTGACTGTGAATTGTTTGTGTGTGCACACACGTCCATGGGGGTGTATTGTGCTCTGTAAACCAAGGCCTGGTTTGTCTAGTCATCTCCTTCTGGCCTTCATTAGCATCAAGTTGGCCATTACAAGCAGCTTTGAGGCTACTGTTGACAGGCCCATGTTTGCCCTGCTCATTAGTAAGAAGAGCCTCTGTTTGGCTAGTATGCTGTCTGCTCTCTGATTGGCTGTGGCATGGTGGGCAGGGTTGTTGGAAGTCAGAACCTCCCTGTAATGGCACTGCCAATGCTCTCAACAGGTCCAAGGTTAGCTTCATTAAGTTACCTTGGGGGTTGTCTATAGGGAGGGGTTGGAAATTGCCATAACCAGCATTGGGGGGGGGGGTAGAGAGCATGCTCTGGGACTGTGTCTGCTGACTATGGATGGGTGATTATAGGATAGATAAGGCCAGTCTTGTCAATCTTCTGGGCACCACATAGCTAAGTGCTGCCCCTGCAGGAGTTTATGAGTGATTAAGTGGTCTTGCCCCCAGCAATTTAACCAAGTGGCTTGGGAAAGGTCTTGATGTGTATTGGTAACAATCCCAGGTATTTCAGAGAAATTTTCACGTGCCAAGGGTGTATACAGGCAAAGCAAGGTGAAATAGGGGGTGGTGACACTGATTCCAGAGCCAGAGTCCTGGGTTCACAGCCAGGCATCTCCTCCCAGAGCCTCCTTGTACTCATTGGATTGCCCCTTGTGCAGGTGCAACAGGCTTCGTGTGAACAGAGTTCAGAGCAATGAGGGGCACGTGTCCCTGCTCACTCAGAATCAGCTCTGTTCTCATTAAATCTTGGTGACAAGCGGCAGGGTAGAGACCAATAGCCTCCGTTAGAACTGGGGAAACGAAGGTTGACAGCTTCCTGTGCACAATAGATAGTAAGCAGAAGATGTAAGCCTGGAACATGGGTCTCAAAGTCCACCCTCTGCCTTGGGGTTCTTGGGTTTGAAGAAGCTGAACCCAAATCTGGAAGAACAAAGGTGATTTGAGGTCAGGAGTAAGGTCTGGGCGTGCTGATAGGTGCAACTAATGTATCTGAAGCTGGCCTGCTAACGCTTTAGCAACATCCCTTGCCTGCTCCAACATTGGGTCAGCTGTGGGCTGTGTGTGTGTGTGTGTGTGTGTGTGTGTGTGTGTGTGTGTACCTGTGTGTGATGTGTGTGTAAGAGACTGGGAGTCTTTAGAGTCAGGAGTTTCCAAGTACAATGGAACAATGGTTGTTTTTAGTTTGGTTTTGTGGTGGTGTGTGCGGAAGAACTCACATCCTCTTGTATACCTGCCCAGTACCCTAGCCCTGAGCTACGGGAACAGGAGCGGCTCTATCAGGATCACCTGCCCCCACCAGGCTCCAAGTGGCCACTGATAGGATGGAAGTGCAGGCCAACTAGAGTTTAGCAGTCCTAAGTAGACAGTTGGGAAGTTTAGCCCTTGCTTCTACAAGCCAAGTAAACTCATGGTATAGCTGAGGTCTCCTGCCCAGTTTAATGACAACCCTAGGCACACCTACTTCCATCTTTGTTTCACTGCTAGCAAGTCACAGGCTGAGCTCCATATGGCTCATTTGTAAGAACAATAATAATATTTTCCCCAATTCTTACTTTGCCCTTGGATCTGGGGCCTTCACTAAATACTCACTGTGCCCTAGGTATTCAGTACCTTGTGGCATCTCATCCTTCATACCCATTTTCTGGATGAAGAAACTGAGGGCCTGAAAGGTAAAATTGGTAAGAGGCTAGGATTCAGAGCCCAGTTTAACTGCTATCCCATGAGATGAAATGACACTATCTATACAAGTGTAATTAGGGCAAATGGCAGTGACTGTGGGCCAGGCCTCACCAGACAGCTCTGGGCTGGGAATGTAGGGATGTGGTGCATGCAGGGGAAAGAAAAGATACTAAAGCCACCACATAGACATGGCCACATGGTCCTCTTTATGTGTTACGTTTAGAATATACATTCTGGGAGCCTCTTCAAGATGTCAGTCCTGGGGAATAGAAAATGGATTTCCAGACTAATCTTATTTTCTCTGGGGTCACATGTTCCTAGAATTGGGAGAGGGCTATATACACGGTGTTTGGATTTTGGTTTTTTGTTTTGGTGCTAGGAATGGAACCTAGGGCTGTGGCCACATTTGGCAAGCGCCCTGCCACGGAGCTTCACATATCCCTGCTCCTGTGAGTTTCTATGTTTTTAACTGAGTACACGGTTAACTCTGCAGAGGCCAAAGAGGGTGTTGGATCCCCTGGAACAGGAGTTCCAGACAGTTATGAGCCACCACGTGGGTGGGTGCTGGGGACTAAACCCAGGTCCTCTGCAAGAGCAACAAGTGTTCTTAGTCACTGAGCCAACTCTCCAGCCCCTTTGGCCCTCTTTTAAAATATATAACTTTTTTCTTCCTTAAAATTTGATTTTTATTTTCAATTTGTGTGTATGTGTGTGTGTGTGTGTGTGTGTGTGTGTGTGTGTGTGTATGTGTGTGTGTTTGCATGTGCTTGTGGTTTAGATGCATGTGGAGTGCAGTGTGTGCACTCAGTCATGTTCCCAGAGACCAGAGGGAGATGTCAGGTGTCCCCCCTATTACTCCCTGTCTTATTTCCTCCAGACAGGCTCTTTCCCTGAATTTGGAGCTAGACTGGCAAGCAGCCAGCCTCAGCAATCCTTCTGCCTCAGCCTCCTAAGTGCTAGGATTATAGGCATGAGCTACACAGGTCTGGCTTTATTCTTTTAATTGATTACTCTGTTATTGTTCTTAACAAAAGATTGTTCTCAACAAAAGATACCCTTCTTAGAGAAAAGCAAGCATGCAAACTGGATGGATACAGTCTCACACTGCTCTTAGCAACTTATCGTTTGGGGAAAGATGCTTATGGATTATCTGGCTAGAAGTATTCCTCTTTGGCTTTTAATTTTTCATTTTATTTTTTTTAACTTTTAGACATGGTCTTGCTATGTACCCCAAGCTGGCCTGGAACTTGAAATCCTCTTGCCTCACCTGAGTGCTGGGATGTATCTCTGTACCCAGCTACCACCTAAGACTACTAACATTCTCTCTCTCTCTCTCTCTCTCTCTCTCTCTCTCTCTCTCCCTCCCTCC